TACCCATGTATGTGAGTTTTCCGAGTAGGACATAAGATCAACATGTTATAAAAATCTTCTTTCATGCTGTCTTGTTTAGTAATTGGAGATTCACGGAAAGGCTTTTCTTTACCTGTAATCAGATTTTAATAGGGGAGATTAAAGCAGATACCTGCTAACTGCTGGTTCTGATGTTTCATGTGTTGAACCGATTTTTAATGTTACTGCATAGCTGGTGCTCTAGGTCTTTGATCTGCAAAGAAAAACATTACTGATGTGCCAGACTTAGCCTTAAATGTCTGACTAGGTAAACTCAATGTATTCTGGAAGGGCGTTAAAGAGGTGATCGTGTCTCTTCTTTTGCAAGGGCAAATTCTTTTCTGAGGCTTTGCACAAACATTTGCACAATTGTTAGTGAATTTGTAGGTCCACTCTAGAAAGTGAAAATAAATAATCTTCTTTCAGGAGAGGTGTGGCCTTTGACTGAAGGTATATTTTATTTTGAAGTTGATATGATTCTTTGATTCTGACTTAATTACGTCTCCTTTGAAGTCCCTTCATAACTATTAATGTTGTTGCTGCTCTGTTAGACTCTAGAAGATGGCAAAAGTCCCATAAAACTTCCTGGGAGAATTGTTCTGTCACTTTGTCTAATATACATAAGATTTTATTCCTGCTGGCGTAAAGGAAAAATGCTGCTCTTTAGCAGTTCATGTGGGTTCTGACCATATGCCTATGCAGAGTATGGTCTTTTTTTAAAGAAAAACTTTAGCAGCTATTTAGTACAGTCTTAGTTTCAGCCTACCAAAATATTGGTTACTTTGCGGTCTCAGAGGTCAGTATTGAGAATCGTCACCTGATAAGATTGCTGATACCAAAGTCCATAATATTCAGTATGATGTCTTTGGCCAATATTATTCAAAAGCACAGTAATTTCAGAAAACTTTACATAGAGATAACTTTTCTTTGAATCTTTACTTCCTGTGCTGTTTCTTGCCTCAGCCTGTTAGAGGGCTTGAGAGACTTTGTCTCATTCTGTTGGCATAATTAGCCACACCTTCACCAGGGCTGCCTTATTTATGAGAGGGGGCTCAAATCTTATGCTTAGATTTTCTTTTATCGTATGAAGATGTGACTTGGCATTTGGAGCTTGTTGCTAGAGCTACAGTATATAATTTCTTTGCTAATGTGAATCCTTGAATTCTCTAGTCATTCACTTTTTAGATGCTACCATATAGAGAAGATGCATTTCCTATATAAAATGTGATCTGTTATGGCTGGCCAGTCTATCAAAACTGAGAACCCGACTGCCCATGTAAGTCAACACCTGTCCTGGCTTAGCTGAACGGGATACTTAAAGTGGAAGAGCAAGAGAATCCAACTTGGAGTGCTCATCTAGTGAAGACAAGAATCGAACACCCACAGGATTGTATTATCCTAAGCTTAAAAGAGAACAGCAGCTTGTTTAGATAATCTTTGACAACCTTATCTAGGATGTTAGATGTGTTTCACATCACTGTCTAGCCAGGTAAAAGATTTATTGTTGCAGCTGTAGTAACTACTGTCTTTGGTAGTACCAGTGTACTACCAGTTTGGATCATGAGGGTTCAAGCAGTTTTCTGACTTTCCCATTTTATAGGTGATTTTATATGCAACTTGCATCTTGGAGACTTAATTAAGCACATAAATGGCAGCTGGTGTAGATAAAGATTGAAACTTTATATCTTTAATTGAAATTCTATTAAAAGTTGATATTTCCATGCCTAAAGGCGCTTTCTCTTTGCAAAAGTGTAACTCTAAGTATATTCTTGTGAGTTTTATAACAGCTTGTCTTTAATCTGAAAAATTTGTGTGTAGGTGTGAGGCTTAGGGGTTTTTTAGTTGACCTATAAAATTTCCACTGAAACAGTTTAGTTTTCTAGCATGAAACTCCCTCTGAAAAAGAATTAATTTGTTTCCATGGATACAGATAGACCTCTAGACCAGTGGTCTCCAAACCCTTTTGATCGTGCACCCCGTCAGTAAAAAAATTAGAGCATGCACCACCGATATCTGTATATTTATTTATAAATTATATACATGTACTACTGTACTATTACGTACATTATAAAACATACCCAAAAATGAAAATTAAAGATGAGATAAAGATTAAATAAATACTATTTTTGCAGTGAAAAAAATAGTTTCTTCTCACACCTCAATGGATTATCTTGCACACCTCTCCAGGTTTTCACACTCCACTTTGGAGACCACTGCTCTTCCTATGGGGGAGATGCCCCAGGCAATATAAATAGGAGATCTAAAGGCCAGAGAGAAATTTACCTATGAAGAGTCCTGCGAGTTTTCTGACATGTGTGTTAGAGACTGCATTTAAAGCAGGTGCTTGTGCCAGAGTTTGATCCCTGTATATGGAATGGATTGATTTGTCTTCCCTTCCTACTTCTATATGTCTTAGACTGGGAGTAGGAAAGGCCAAATGAAGTTTTATAACATTCAGTGATCTCTTTTACAGTGGCTTTTCACACCAAACAATTAGATATTTGACTTTGTTTATTGCAGAACCTAGGAGTACTTGGGGTTTTTTTATTTTTTGTAACTTATCGGATATCTTTGTTAATTTGGACTAAAACATTCTGATGTTTGACTTTGAATGCTGTTGATACATTTTCTCAGTGCTAGTATTCAAATCCATGTAGTCTGTGTTTGGGACATCTTTGCAGATGTTTTTGCTAGGTAGTCCCCTATAAACAAGCTTTCATCATCTTTAAGGGAAACTTAGAAAACTTGGTATTTGGGTATTGTGTGTGGTTTTTGGTTTTGTGTTGGTTTTTTTTTTTCATTCCAAAAGTTCACTGTCCAGAAGGAATTTATTCCACAACTAGCTTAGGAGAGAACAGAGGGATCTGTGGTATAGTCTTCAAAAAGAAGGAGAAAAAAAAAAAATCCTGTAATGTAAGCCAATAAGCCAAATAATATTTATAAGCTAAAGGAAGGGGAGCTTTGTTGGACTGTCTTAATCTTAAGACATGATGATTCTAAATTCCTTTTTGAATGTGAACTTTGTAGCTTTACTTTGTGCTATCCCAGGACTTAGCTTTCTTGTCCTTCTCCTTTACCCCCTTATTTACCATGTCTTGGCATGCATCAGACATTACAAGACTTCTTAGAGCCTGTTTCAAGGTAGTGATTGCGTGGCTTTTACATGGTTGACTTCCTGAACTTATGAATCCCAATCCTTATGGATCTGCAAACATCATGTGTTATTTAAATGCCAGTTGTTTTTAAATTGACGGGAAGTGGCAAGGTGTGAATAAGAATATGGGTAGAGCTTAACTTCCTAGATAAGCTAAGTATATGCTGTTAGTGTGCTGTGATCTGGATTATTTTTTTTTTTGGAACACAGTTGTTAACATAGCCTCACCAACATTTTGTACTGAAATTCAGCAAAAGAGAAGTTACATCACAGTACTGTTTACCAGTAAAGTTGTTGCAGATAAAGAGTTAGACCTTCAGTTAGTCGTATTGGAATTTTACTTTATAAACTATTGTACAGTGTTGGTAGTCCACGTAGCTAAAGCTGGACTTTGTTTAGAAGTGCAACTTGTTGCTGTTCTGAAAATCATAGATAAAAGTAAAGCTATCTTTTTCCTGATGTCCAACACGCTTCAGAAGCCATAGCCATATTTCAGGGTCAGTAACAGCAGTTGCAGTTTTTTTCATTGTGTTACTTGCTGCTACTTCATGCTACTTTGAAGCCAGAACCTTCAATGGTGTGAGAACCAGGTTCTGACCTCTGAGACCACAGAATGCATGGTGTTTCAACTTTAAACACCTGAAGTTTAAACACTGTTGTGTTGCTTTGACTTTCAGCAGAGTATATTAGGAGAAGAATTGAATATTGTATTGATAGGAGAGGAGAATTCTGAGGTCATCTTGTTATTTGGCTGGTAGTATGAAACTGATAATATAGAACATCAAATGCAGAATAAGATTTCCTTCTGATAATCTCCTCTTCCGTTCTTAGAAGCGAGGTGATATCTGGAAGATATATGTCAAGCTGTCTATTCTGTGAACTTTCCTAGAGATTTGGGGCAGGAGTGAGGGAACTGCAGGGGCTCAGTAGAGAAGTATGAATTGGTGTTGCAGCTGAAATTCTTCTGATTGTTTTTCTGTAGAGATGCAGGACTTGAGGTACGATGCTAAATTTAGCCACTACCTAAAATACTAACATTACTTGCACATATGAACAAGAAGTCACTTACCACATAGCTTGTCAGTATTTGGTTTCCAGTGACTTCTCATCATTACTGAAGTGCAGCAAATGAGTTTATCCTTAGTTGCACAACCCAAGGTGAAGAAACAAAGCTGATTAGGCACTCACTAAATTAAATTTTGTTTACGCCTTAAGAGATGTCTCAATCCACTAGTACGAGTGGCATTAGAATACAACTTCCTGTGTCCTGATTTGGTTGACTGTCTTCAGACTTTTTTGTCATGTAGAATTGGCAGGTGCTATTTATAAAACAGAATGGACAGTTTCATATTTGGGTTTTAAGTTATGAATAGTCTGTACTCACTTGCTAGTAGCTATGATGCTGACTTATTTCTATGCATCTGGTTTCTCAGTGTGCAAAACTTCAATGTGTAGAAGCAGGTAAAGTAACTTAGCCAGATAACTAGGATCCCAGTTGGGGGAAGGAGAAGCAAAATGAGCAAATGTGAGCATTTTTTTACAAGCTCTAATGATTTTTTTTTTTAATCACATGAGTTACCTAGTGCATTTGGGTACTCACTACACTTGAGATGCAGTGTGGAAGGAAGGGCCAAGGTTGTCTTACAGTCTTAAATGCATAGATAAGGGAAAGGAAATCGAGCAACTTAATTTTCATTTTCCTTGGGCAATTACTTAAATATTTGGATGGAACATTCTTCAGCAGATTTGAAGGCGTTGGATTTTTTTCAAGCTGCTCTTGGTGTGTTAGCTCTAAAATTTTGCTTATTAGATTATGTTTACATTGAAGGGTGAAGATGTCAACCGGACACTTGAAGGTGGGAGGAAGCCTCTTCACTATGCAGCAGACTGTGGACAGCTTGAGATTCTGGAATTTCTGCTATTGAAAGGAGCTGATATTAATGTATGTACATCAATTTGCAAACAGATGTTAGGGTCTTAGGGTCTTCTCCTCCCCCCACCTCCCCCAACACACACACATATAAAGGATTGGTATAAGTGCCTAAATGGTTACTGAAAGACTTAGATCAAACTAAACAATTTGATGCATTTAAAAATATTTTAGAGGTGGTCTCCTAGAGGTTAGAAGCTTAAAATTATGTTTATTAAATGTTTCTATTCTTTTTGGACACACTAGGAAAAGTTGTTTGTAGCTATAAAAAAGTTTTAGTTTGACCATGATTAGAAAAATAAATCCAGTAATCACATCTAAAGAAAGTTTGCATGAAATACATATTACATCTGTTGGAAGGGACTTCAGAAGACAGTGCAATGCATCCTTGGCCAGGGCAGGATCGACTCTGTTTAAATCGGTGTGCTTCTCTCTTTTTGGGAGACATTCTTACTTGTACAAACTTAGTCATTTTGTTGTAGCTTGAAATGCATGGCTTTTTGTCATGAAAAGACTTGGCTGGGCTGTATTGGCACTTCAAAACAGTGTAGTTCTCCATAAAGTGAAGTTTCTAAATACTTTAACCATACACCCCAAATGCTGTGCTTTAGAATGCTTGTCTTGAAAGTTTAACCATACACCCCAAATGCTGTGCTTTAACTTTCAAGACAAGCATTCTAATGTACAACACAGCTTTAGTCCTTAACAAAATGGCTTGGATTTTTTCCTTGGTGCCTGGAAAGATTATCTCTTCCTCAGGAGTTCTAACTGGAGAGGAAGAAAAAATGGAGGAAAAAATAAGAACACTTCAGTTGCTCCATTTCTTATTTTTTCCGGGACTGTAGTTTAGAGAGGAGAAGACAGCCCAAACAATGTTTCAGCCAAAACTGGTTTCTGAAGTCAGGCTGGCTGAGAAATGTGAGAGTTAGGAGTACTGTTTTTACACTGGGCAAAATTTGTCAGCTGCAACCCTGCAATTTCTGTCATTGGCCTTAAAAAATAAACAAACATTAGGATACCTGGAAGTCTTATGGAAGAAATATCTTGCTGTTACCTGACTGGTTTTTAAACAATGACTTTTCTTTTTAAAAAGGAGAGTAAAAAACTTCTGAGGGAATGCATTTCTGGATAATATTCTTAAATCCTTACCTTCACACTACTGTTGACAAAACAAAATTAAAAAGTTAAGTGAAACTTTTTAATGCTGTGTGAAATTGTGCTTCAAGTAACTGTGTCTCAATTTACAGGCTCCAGACAAACATAATATCACACCACTCCTATCAGCAGTCTATGAGGGCCATGTTTCCTGTGTGAAATTGCTTCTGTCAAAGGTGAGATACCAATAGTGAAGTGTATTACTATGATTTTTCTTAAGATTATGATGCTCCAGGTAAGTTCAGGACTTCAAACAAATGCTGTTTGTTGCTAAACCAGAGAGGGTACTCTGATTATGAAGATAGTTGAAGGAGAAAGTTCCAGGACTTTTGCAGTGTAGCAAAAGTAATAGTGTGACCACTAAGAGTATTGTGAGCTCCAGCTAGAGAGCAATTAACAGCAAATCAGGCAAGAAAAAAAATGCATCCTTCAGCAGATGCGAGGAGTGGGATTTAGCTTTGGCAGCTGCTTAAGTGTTTCATGTGATGGAATCTCCACTGTGAAGCTGCTCAGAGGTGCAGCTTCCCTCTGCTTTTGCCAGATGACTGAAAACCCATCTGGGCTGGCAGAGTGAGGGGAAGTAAAATAGGAAGACAAGCTTTATCTGTTACAGAGCTTGTAAATTTTGTCCTGGGGAGAATAAGCTTAATCTGTTTCTGTTCTCCCTTTGATTCATATTACAAAGGTGATCCATTTTACAAAGCAGTAGTTAATTCAAGCATTCATATGTGCCCGTTCTTGTTACACCTCACTTACTTTGAAAAAAGGAGGTTAACAGTGCATTTTCAGTATATGAACCCACTTAAATCATTTGGCCAAAGGATTTCATGCTGTGTAATGTTTTCATATGCCACTTTCAAGGTAAAATAGTTTTCCTTAACTGCCTTAATGCTGCATGAATTTCACTTTTTTTTCACTTCTCTGATCCTGCCTAATGTTAGTTATGCCTATCTGAAGAAATGCTGTGACTGTTAATTTAGGATTCAAATGGTGCATCTGACTTGCTTAAATTTGTTGTGAGGACTGATCCTTCATTTAGGATCATTATATAGCCATTACAAAAAAGGTATCCTTTATCCCATGTTGTATTTCTTTCCATTTCTGTTTTGATGTGTTTTGCATTCTAAATAAGTTCTCAAATAGTAAATAAGATGCCTCAAAACTTGAGTTGACACATGAATTGTCTGGCAATAGACAATTGGGTTGTGCATTCATTGTAGTCTCTGTCTTGAGAAAATGTATTGATCTCTATACTTGATACAATTTGAATGGAATTGGTTAAGTTCAATAGCCATAAAGATGAGGCAATCTTACAAAGATGTGCAGAATGTTATAAGAACTTGGACTAGGGGATGAGGTTAGAAAAATGTTACTGCAACTGATAGTTTGGGAAAGCTTATATTTTCAGATTTCTTCATGCAGAGCTAAATGTTGTACCACATCTGCTTCCATTCACATGGCCTAGCTGATGAAATATTTATGAACTGGAACTTTGCTCATCAGCTCATTCTGTTTGAGGCAGATCTTCTATTACGAGGTTGTTCTTTCTCTTAATACAGTTATAACCCTTGTTTGAACATCTGTTGTCACATCTTTTTTGTAACGTAGTCTGATTTCATATGTTCTCTGATAGCAGATACCTGGGAGATCAGGTAGTTCAACCCTTATTGAAAGTTCTAAAAATTACTGACTGTTTCACTTTGACTGTTTAATGTTCTTCCTAGTTATTTTTGGAGTGGGGTGTATTTATTGTTACTCCAAATGCAGGACAAATATTGAATGTCTGATGTTAGTGTATGTAAATAGTGGAACTGCAAATGCAAATGATAGACCAATATATTTAAGATTTTTCTTCAAAGCTATTCTTTGTTGCTTTTGTAAATACTACACTTCTACTTACTGCTAAGAAGCTTCATTATTTTACATGTATCTACTTTCAACTACCTTCATTTACCCTGTTAGTTGATCTCTTGCATATGTGGCCTCTGTCATAGAATATTCCTTAAGCTGTTGGACTAGAAGTCAAAATCCTCCTTAATGTATTTTTTTTTAAACAGGAAAACAAAAATAATTAATATTTTTTTGTACTTTCACAAGTTTTGAGAACCGATGAACAGTGGTGCATGTCTCCTTAGTCTGCTTGCATACCACAAATATAAAAAAGTTAGCAG